ATGACACCCTTCCTTCACAGGCTGGGCGTGGTGGTGGCCGTCGTAAGCAACGAACGCCTGAGCAGCGCCGTGTCGGAAGCGAGAGCGAGTGTGCAAAATAACATCCAAGATCTCGATACCTTCTTGAGGAACACCAAGATGCAGCTCCGGTTCCTCGTCAGCAACTCCTTAGAACAAACAGTCGACGCGATCTACAGTGACCTTGACGGTAGGGTATGGGAGGCCAGGTGGTGATTAGCCTTATAGAGGGGAATCAGATGAAAGGAGCGAAGCGTTAGGTGAGAGTTATTCACGTGAGGTAAAAAAGTATGGACAGCTGAGTTTGCTGTAGATTTTCCATTTGGCGAGATCATGTTGAGATAGTGGAGAAATGCATCTGTGCTACGTTATCTAAACGGGTATATTATATTGTATATTGTGCTGCGGCATGGATTGCTGTAGTTTTTAAAATTGCTTTTATAAATGGTCTCTGGTTAACTAACCAATGCATAGTATATATAAACATTCCTCTTGTATCAGAATGCAGTTATTCAAATCTCATCAGCCGACAAAACCCATTTAAATACTTTTTTACAGAAGATATCGTGTGAAAGTATTTTATAACTCTAACCTATTCAAAATTCCTTACAGTGACATACTATCTTTTCCCAGACGTGGAGTACCTGCTGGGGAGGCCTCTCCAGAGGGAGTTAGCGGCCGAGGCACAGATCGAGGTGGCCCTGGACTCCCTCCTGCATATAAGCAGCAGTGGGTACTTTTTGTATGAACAGTCTACTTGGCTATAGCTCCCTGAATCTCAATTACTTTTGTCTCAAAATATTCATAAGGATATGGTTAATATTGCCGATAATGTACAGTGAAATATGTCATCAGTAGGAAAATATATCTCCAAATAAAATGCATTATAAAAGCATAATTATGTTAAAGGTTCCTTCCCCGCTCTCTTTCTGTCTCTGTCTCTGTCTCTCTCTCTCTCTCTCTCTCTCTCTCTCTCTCTCTCTCTCTCTCTCTCTCTCTCTCTCTCTCTCTCTCTCTCTCTCTCTCTCTCTCCCTGTGTCTGTTTTTGTCTCTGTCTGTCTGTCTCTCCCTGTGTCTCTGCCTGTCTTTGTCTGTTTGACTCTCTCTCTCTCTCTCTCTCTCTCTCTCTCTCTCTCTCTCTCTCTCTCTCTCTCTCACTTTCCTTACATCCTCCCTCTCCCTATTTCATAGCCTTCCTCCTTTACCTTCCTCTCCTTCCAAACCCATTCTCTTTGTACCCTGTTATACAAACAACAGTCACATGATATTAAACTTTTCTCCCCAATATTAGCCGTCGCTGGGAAGTGACACTGACGGCAGCCCTGGTGTATATTGGGGAGATATTTCTCACTACGTCGTTTCATGTGATGCTCGCTCAGCATATCATTTCTATATTGGAAAAAAAGAAGGGAAAAAAAAGGAGGAGAAAAGGAGAAAGAAGAAAAATAGAGAAGAAGAAAAAGAAGAAAGCGTAGGTGTATGGGAAGGGTGAGAAAGAAGTTGGAGGAAGAGGAGTGAGAAGAAGAGGAGTAGGAGAGGAGAAATAAAAAAAGGAGGAGAAGGATGACAGTGATGATGAGGAGGATGGAGAGACGGATGAAGAGGAGGAGGAGGAGGAGGAGGAGGAGGAGGAGGAGGAGGAGGAGAATGCTAACGAAAAAAAAGGTAACGAAACGAGAAAATGAGAGATAAAAGGACTAAGAAAAGGCCAATACACAAGCACGTGTTCTAACGTTCTTAGAGGCCACGCAGTTTAAGCAAGACCCTTCCTATGGCCGCGTCCATGACATTCCAAGGTTTTATGCTAATTTCATGGACCAAATAGAATAAGAAAAGGAGTGACAAAGACCAAAGGAAAGCATAATGGAACAACGTACTACAAAGGAAATAAAAGATAACAATCGATATCAAGTAGAACAAATGCAATAACAAAGGAAATAACGCTGAGCAAATGGAATAACGTGTAAAAGGAAACCGTTAAAATAGAAGAAGAAAAAGTTAACGGAAGAACACAACCATAAAGAAAAAAAATAATAACAAATAGCAAAAGCAAATGCACTTATCGTTCATATTTATGTTGTCCAACCCTGGGATTGCTTGAATGCACACGCACACACGTACACATAAACATACACATACACATGCACATACAAACACACACACTTACATTAACACACACACACACACACACACAGACACACAGAAACACACACATGCATAAACACACACTCATACACACATACACATAAACACACACATACACATACGCACGAATCTGAAAAGCATTCTTAGCCAGATGACATTACCCTTTCGTTCTGTTTTTGCAGGTTTACGCAGCATCGCCGGTCGCATGCGGTCGCTGGAAGAAGCAAGGTCGCAGGCGGCGGCTCGGGCAGAGGAGGTGAGATTTAGAGACTAATGAGTACGTGTACACGGTGTACATGCTTGAAACATACATGTATACGACGTACATGTATACTTA